TGTGCTTTTATTGGCTAAATGACTGCATCTGTGCCTCCAGCAGGCTCAGTAAATTTGGCTCTTTGAATCCAGAGTAGCCAAATTATCTAGCAGCACCAATTTCCATGCAGGTGCACCTACTTTTCTACTTATCCTTTCTTAGCTGTTGTTCTGCCTTTTGGTGCTTTGTGCTGGGAGTAAGAGCATGGTGCATGAATTGTGTGAACTGTGCTATCTTCTGTGCTTGTTGTACCCTTCACAAAGAAAACCATGCCCAAAGGGGGTAAACCCAAGTGATGGGTCATCCTGTAGCAGGGACATCTGCCCAGCTTAATTTTCACTTCCTCTAAGAAGGGCCCAAAAAGTGCTCTCACAAAAGCCCAAACTTCATTGCTGTGCTGTCCTAGGGTGAAGCATGCAGGGAAGAGCTTGTCCTACTGAGAAAGATGATCACCCACTGCACGTGAAAATGGTGGGTCTGGGTGCAGTGAAGTGAAGGGGTTTTACTAGAGAAAGTTTTGAAAGCAGATGGTTCTTTAGTGTCCTGATACTCAGAATTGCTTGTGAAGCTTGGTCGTTCTTATCTAATTTCCCTTGTCATTGTAATTTTCAAGTTTTCTCCTCCAAGAGAAACAGTCTATTACAGCTTCTAAGATTGTACTGATAAAAGCCAATTCTGTTTTCCTGTGAGGAGCAGCTATGTTCTCCTACATAAAAAAGGAAGATAAGAAAGTTCAAAACCTACTTATCTCAGGGACTGAGAGAGACTGGTAGGCCCTGCCTCCCTATCTGAACCTTCATGTGTCAGAACAATATTCTCATGGTTCTAGAGATTGGTATAGCATTTAAATTGCTAAAATACACTAAGACAGCACTCCAGCTTGTAGGGGAACAATTTCAACAAAATTAATTTACATCTTAAATTTTTCATCCTACAGTACTAACACATCTAAAAATATGCTTAAATTTCTAACACTTAGAAAACAATGCACAAGAGCGTTAAGCCATGTTGTTAGTTTAGCTATTTGCACTCCAAACCCCACATTGTTTAATAGTGGAACTGTGAGCACTGGAAACTGGGAAATTGTGAGCACTGGGAAACAGCTGCGGCGCTGGTTGAAGAGAAGCCTGGCTGTGGCAGCACAGCCTCTCAACCATCCATTCCTGAGGCTGCCAGGGGTTTACCTGAGCTACCTTAAAAGTTTGTGTCTGCACAGGGTTGGAAATCATATTTACTAAAGAGCAAACACCAAATAGTGTGTCAAGTGGATCCGACAACCTTCGTTATCTGAGTAGAAAGCGGAGGGGAAGGTGGCTGGGAGCTCTGGCCTGCCCAGCACCAGGCTGGTGAGTGCTGCAGCCCCTCATCCTGCAGCAGCAACAGGGAGCACCACAGCTTCCCATGGGCATTTAAAAAGGGTCTTTTGCTTCCTCAGCTGCTCTATTCCAGTCTGGGAAGCGCTGGCACCCCCTCTCTTCCAGGGCTGACAACCTAAGGAAGTTGGTTATTTTCCAAAGGCAAGGAGGGCAGGAGGAGGGCAGCAGCTGCAGGAAGTGGGGCTGAATGGGCCAGGGCGTTTGCAACCAGCTGCTGATTCCTAGGCCAGCTCAAGAGTCAGCTGAGGCCAAAGGTGCCAAGTGAAATCTAATTTCTGGCTGAAGGGTATTAATAACCATGGATATAAGTACTCGATGTTTAGTGTGGGGAGTTCAGCTCCACCCCTCTTGGCTCTTTTTAGGGTAAGGATTGCCCTGAACAGAAGTCAATGCTTGGAGGACCCCCTCCTTGCCAAAGCCGCAGTTGCCCAGCAGCGCTGCCACCCACCCCTACCTGGCTGAAAAGCTTCCTCAGTGACGAGTTTGTGGAGTGGTTGGTTGTTTCCACTTTTAAGCAGTATTCCTGCCTGATTTTGAACCACAGCCCAGCTGTGTGAAAGGTATCTTCTCTCTAACCAGTTTTCACACTTTCCTCATCAATGCGCCCCTGTCCCGCTTCCAGCCCCAGGTTCCTCTCTCCAGAGGAGGAGCAGACACTGGAGGCCTCACACCGCTTCTTGGCCTTGCACTGCAGCCGAGGCTGTTGACCGGCCACGTCACCCCCACCCCGGCTGTCCTCTCCCTTTGGCTTCTGGCTCTTGGGTGTTTGTGGGACCCGCGAACTGCAGCGCCTCTGCCCACAGCCTCACCCCGCTCCCCAGGCAATTCTGTGGGAGCACAGAAGCCCCAAACTGAGGCTAAAGGTGTCAGCGCAGTTATGACCACAAGGCAGCATGGCCAAGGAATTCAGGGGAGCACCAGACACCCTCACACCGCGCCAGCCCTGCAGCAGCAAACCTATTTTTGGGGCTGCACAGACGAGGAGCTGGTAACGCCGCAGCCCCCGGGCAGCCGCGCCTGCAGCAGGGCAGCCTGGTGCGTAGGGTGAGCACGGGGAGAGTGGTGCCGCTCACATCTCACTCAACGCCACGAGAAGTTGGGGGAAACTATTTGGTAGCTTCAGCAGAACTTGAATTTCCGAGGGCAATTTTTATGGCACTCTCTCGCCTTGCTTCATAGGTGCAAACTTCATTCCCGGCTGTCACCGTGTGCGGCACACCTATGTGTGACAAGTCAGACACCAAGCAGCTCGCAAAATTTACCGGGCAGTTTGCTATCATACGCCTAGAAACAAAAACTTACTGCATATATAGTTGTGTTCAATCCTTTGACCTGTAAGTATAACAAAAGATTCATGTAATGCTTTTGCTCATTTCTGAATGGATTGGTAATAAGAAAAACACAGAAGAGGAAATTTAAATAATAAAACTTAATATTAACACTTTGAATATTTACCATCTTGTTTCCACGTGTAACATTTTTAAGTGCTAAGTGCTCTGATCCCACATTAAGAAATACTTGCTCCTTTTAGAGTTGAAAAAAGAACATTTAAAAGAACATAAAACTGTTTTCCTAATAACCTAAAATTTTTCCAAATCAGGAATTTGCATATTATCATCCAAAGGCACGAGCCTGATGTTTCACACCTGACTTCTACACATAAACAAAAGTCTACCACAAGATCGGTGTGTGCATATCAATGAAATCTCATTTTACACAACTCTTCAAACAACAATATTTATCATTTTCATGTCAAAATCACTTTGTGGCTCACTAGCATTTGCTGGTTTTCTTTAAATATAAACCCAAACACTTTTAAAAGCAGCAGTTTATATCCACAGGTCTAATGCATAACCGATCCTCTTTAAAAAGGGAAAATCCATGTGCTATGTGAAATACTTCATTATTATAATGACGTGCAGCAAGAAGAGCTTGTTTTTATACAAACTCTCTTCTCACAGAATAATAAACTTTTAAAACAAAGCATTTTCAAAAAATCTTATTTAACCTTTTTTACAAGGCATGATATGTTGGACTTCTACCTTGGATTTATAAAATGACGAGTTACCATCTCAATAGGAGGAAAAAAAATGAATGTAGTTCGATGTAAGGAAACTCCGTGCCAAATTCAGACTTCCATTTGCAAAAAATGGAACATTTCTGAGATGTCTCGTATATTTCTGAGGTAAAACTCTGGAATTAATACTTTATTTACCACAGATGCAATTAGTTTATCCAGGGATGCAATTAGGAAGCCAGAGCTGTTAATTTCTGGATGCATGCTATAAATGTATGACTACAAAACCAAACAGAATTCTTATTCCTTATCACTCATTTCCCCCTGTTATCCTAACTCTACTGCTAACGTCACAAAAATTACGGAAGTAATCTAGAAATCTTTATTGCTGGAAAGCTATGATGGGACTATCATCCTTTGTACAAAAATATTTTAATGCTGTTATTTAGAAATGTTAAATAAGAGCATTTCAGTGATAAAATATTTTATTAGTCCTTCTGTTTGAGTACATTGAGCAATGTATTGGGACTTTAAAAAAAAACAAACCAGCCAAACCTCAAGTTTCACAATCCGATCTTTCAATCTCAGTCACCACTGTTACAATAGAAGCACATGCTATGGTAGAAGACACCATCCCAACAGTGAGGTTCTGTATTGCCAGCTGAGACCCATAAAGCAAGATTCAGGTATGGTGAAGTGTGTATTTTATATATCTATGAATATCAAAACAGATTATGGGAACTCTGCCAACCTTGTGTGAACGTGACCAGACAACTGAAAACTAACTACGTCTCATCCAGTTCCTGGCAGGCAGGGTGGTTAGCTGTGATACAGGATATGCTGGCTGCAGCATTTGATGAGATGACAAATAGATCCTTTGTGTATTTTTTTTGTCACTCTGAAACATCACCAATATCACTCACCTGCTCACTCCACACTGCAAAAATATTCATAATTTAAATGCTTTAACAGAGATTAACCCCGCTGCTGGTAAAGAACATACTAAACCACAAACAGAAAAAGAAGAGACCTTATTCTGAAAGGATGAAAGAAAACAGAGAAACTGGAAGTAATGAAGTAAGCATCAGGCTCAACAAAATGCTTAAAAGAAAGTCCTGCTGCAAAAACAGGACTATAAAGTGTATCAGTCCATCAGCGTACAACATAATGTAGCAAACAATACCACATAAAAACAGGAAATGAAACAATGTCACACGACAGACAACTTTGTGCATGAAATAATACAACTTTTTATTCATGTTTATAGATTACTTTTATTTATTTTTGCTTTAATAATGCATATTCTGTTCACTCTGTGCAAAATTGGGGACAGACGGGTGTTTAAATCATCTAACGAAAATCAAGCGGAGATGAACATTCAAGTTGAAGGAGAGGCCTATCAAAACCAGGAAAGGTAAAAAGCCACAGCTGCTCAAGACAAAGCTGCTCTCAGCTGCGCCCTTTTGTCCTGCCACTTCGCACAAACCTGGCTCTACTGACTGAGCAGCTGGACACTGGGAAGGTGACCTCCACTGGACACCAGGGACAGGAGTTGTCGTGGTAGCTACATTAGGGAGACCTGGCTCGCAACCGGCTCCAGTCAGTGTGTGGCAAAGAAAGGCACAAATCATTGCAAAACCCAGATTTCTGTTGGTTTGTTTCCTTCTTGTAAATACATTACTGTACATAATGTAAGTTTAAATTGTAGGGGATTTGGGGACATAAAATTGCATATTTATCAGAACTTAAAACCATAACAAAAAGTAGGCTGTTCTATCTCAAAGCAAAAATAATCCCTCCAGTCCCAACGTTAACATTCATTCCTGGCTATATGCAGTACAAACGTTTTAAAATCTGTGACAAAAGACAATTAAAAACCAAAAGTCAAAATCATAAAGCTTGTAAACAGATAATCTGAAATACATTTTATTTATGGAAAAATATCATCAAAATAGTACCACTATGGACTAAACTGCCTGAGTTTTCATTTCACCTAGGATCTTGAAGTAGAGAACCTTTAGCACAAGAAGATCAATTTCAGTCACAACTAGTGCCACACAGCACTGCTTCAGGTGGAAAATTTGTCCTCGCTGTTGGTGTTTTTGTTGTGCTATCAAAAACTGTTGTGCTAATCCTTCAAATAAAGGGATGTTGAGGCAATTCTTATATCATTTGGCACAAAGTTATTTTGGCTGGGGCATAAATTTGAGTCTCAGTCATGAAGAATAATGCAACATTCCACCTATCAAGTATTCACTTTGATTGAAGAGCCTTCTTTATGTCATTAACTTCCATCTAAAAAGGAAAAAAAAAATTTGTGATGAAATTAGATGCTTTAACAAACTGAGGCACAGTTGGTTCTGCCTGAAAAGCACAGCTGTAGAGTATGGGTTTTATACTACTCTTATTTCCACAGATTTCACAAATTGAGGTGACCTTCTCAGCTGTGTACGGAACACTCATGGCTTCCTCCCCTCAGAGCTTGACAAGTATAGTCATTGAATATACCACAAGACCTTTGAAACTCTTTAAATTACAACTTTTACAAGACACGCAGCTTGCTGACAGGAATTACTTGCATTAAGAGCACTGTGTCCATGCACCAGCTGCTGCACTTACACTTGGCACAAGGAAACTGAACTGCTGACAATGGACACTGGTAGCGGAGGAGCAAAGCCTGCTGTCTCTTTCCTACAGGGATGGTTCTGGCTGTAGGGATGGCGGTTGCCTTCTACACCCACAAAGTCTGCATCCAGCACCTGAGGGCTCTGATCGATGTGCAGCTGTGCAGTAAAAGGAGTTCACTTGGCCCCTCTGACAGATACTGGGAACCCTGAGGGAGGGGTATTAGATTTACTGACACACACCCTCAGTGCTCAACTGTGCTGTATCTTCTTTAATACATGGACTGAGAGCTGTGCTGTTTTACGACTGTCAGAGCAGTCTTAAAACTAATGCAACTTTTGTTTGTTGAACTCTCATCTTCATTTAAAGCTAATTATGCCACTTTGTCTAGCATATACCAGTACAAGCAACATTTGAACTGGAGTAAAAGCATTCAGCTATAAGATCATAATTTTAAAACCATCAATGCAGGTCTCTGTATGAAGATGTAAAGCCATCCTTGGAGGTAGAATCCAGACCTCTGAATAGCCTGGCCTCTTAGACTAAATCAATAACCACTATTAAAAATGGTCATTGATTTTATCTGAATAAATTTCCATTTTAGCCGAACATGAATTGTGTGTTACTAAGAAGCCGTATTCCTCTGTGGTTACATGCATGAAGTCCTTTAGGCAGTCCTGGAGAACAGACATTGATGGTCCCCAGTTCTGCCACCCTTTGCCATGTTCCCAAGCACTTTACTGGGCAGGAATAAGCCAGTTAAATTACAATTCTATTTTCTATTCCTAATACAAAGTACAGTAGACCTATACCATAAAAATATAAAATATAATCAATACTAAACCACTTATCAAGCACATCACACTCTCCAAAATCCAGAAAAGTAGTTTCAATGACACCCCATGTTGAAGCAGCCCAGTCAATGATCCTAGCAAAGGCCCAGCTCCACCACTTACACAGGCAGGGCAGCGTGCTACCGGGCAAATGACTAAGCCAGCACAACAACATCTAGAGCTGAAGTACCATACGAACTATGGCAGCAGTAACTGGGCTCTTAATCAGAGCACCTTCTTTTATATTGTTTAGGATGGTTTAGTAAAGACAACCTGAGTACAGTCTGTAAAGCACACATAAAAATTTTGCTATATGAAATAATATTCCAAGCATATCAACACTAAGACAAGCCTACTACAAAAAAATACAAAGCTTTGGGAGATGGCAAACCATTTTAAAAGACATAATTTCACTTGTGACAAAATGAAACCATTAACACTGAGATTAAAAAGTATCATAGTTTAAACCCTATATTGTATTTAATTTTTTAAAAACTTTGTCTACTTGGGCTGATAAAAATTTAGATAATTATCAGGCTTTTCAGTAAGAACCCAGTATTGCAATATGTATGACACAGGCTGGCAACACTATGAAGGGAACAGGTATATCCCCTTCAGAAATGTTAGTAGTTTTTGATTTACTGGAATCTAAGTATGTTAGGAGAGTTTTATGTCCCATACCTGAAGCTAAATCAAACCTGCCAATACTTTCATAACATTATAAATAATTTAAGTACCTGCAATCGTAGACGGATCTTCTTTTCTTCATCCAACTCAGACAGCAACTGTTTAATCTCTTTTCTGGTAAAAGAATGCAAAAAAAAAGCTCAGAATGAAAATGATTAAATGAGTAAGAAACAAAAGATCACCTCTTGGAGAAATATTTTCCCTGCTTCTCTAGTTACCTTTTTTTCCTCTGAAACACTAATTGAAGTTGGTGTACTTTTGTACACTATGTGCTATACTACAGAGAAGTAAGACTCTCTCTAAAAAGACAGGCCCTCCCCCCACCCCATATGGCTAATGATTAGCACATTTCCTCCTAACAGCCCTGCATCCAAGGCTTTGCTCTGGACTAGCTGTATCAACACTGCATCAGCACCCCGCTGCCTTTTCTTCCATACAAAATGGAGATGAAGCGGCTGTTGGTGGGTTATAGGAACTGGTAACACAAATCCTGCCCATACTATCACATACTTAAGGCACTTACAAGGTGTTTATGGCAGCAATACAATGTAACCTTCAACTTCATTTATAAGACTTAACAATCTCAAATATGGATTTGCTGTCATCCTTCTTTGTCGGGAAGAGGAACATAGCTGTAAGGAGCAGACACCTTCTCCTTCTGAGAGATCTGTTCCCACTGAGTGATCTCACCTTAGGACAGAAACCAGGAGGTGGAAGCAGCCCTTGCAAGAAGAGCCAGAGAGACCAGAGGAGCAGGTCAGCCTAAGAGGTGAAGCTGTGGGGCTTGCTGGCTAGATCCAGCTTGAACCATGCCTTCCTGCATCTTCTCCCAAACTGCCCCCGCCCCCGCCCCGTTCTGCCACAGCCTCTGCACGCTGCCTGGGCTACACACAACTGACAAGATAAGTCAAGGTTAGCTTGCAAAACAGTAAGTGTTCTCCACTAACCCCAGTTTCTCCTAAGGAATAGCAGCTTAAAGAAAATAAAGATGCCCAATGCTAAAATATTAAGATTCGGGATCATAAACACAAAGGTCTCCAAATGTTCCAATCACAATCCAATTACTTCTTTTGTAATATAAACTTCCTGTAAAAATGTGCTAACAGTCGAACAATAAACTGATTTCATAACTTTAGGAACATGCAGTAATTTATACTACAACTAGAACAAACACATCCCTGATTAAGATCAATGCACATGAGTTCCCAAATAGTTATAGGCAAATTAAACAGCGTTAAGAACCTTATTCACTGCTTATAAACTTGTGATAACTTTTTCAACACCCCATAAACATCTGCTGATAACATAACAGAGAAAAAAAAGCTGTTACAGATGGATAGTGCCAGTCCTTTTTTCCTGAGCTTCTTATCCCTGAACATGTTCTGTCAGGAAAGTAGATGAAAATCACTCACCAACACAAAGGCAAACTGTGCAGAGTAACATACATGAAGGCAAAGTCAAGAAGAAACTGCTACCACCATGCATGAACGGATGCATCCCCCCTACAGCTGTGAGTTGCAATACTTACTTTTGCTGGTCTTTCATGGTTTCAATTATGGTTCTTAGCTCCTTAACTTGTGTTCTCAGCTCCTCCAGGGCAGTCTGACCTTGGCTCAAATGCTCAGTCTTTGGCTTTCCTTCAGTACCAAACAGGGATGGGGAATTTGACCTGTGGCCTGTTGTTCCCATAGCAATTGAGTGAAATCCAGGTGACGGTGAAGGGGATAGTGATGGCTGTACATTACTGCCACTAGCCAAACCTCCTGGTTTTGGAGGCAAGGAAGTTTTATTATCAGACACCTGCAACAGAAAGAATAACATTCAATGTCTGGAGAAAGCTTTATGAAAAATCAGACCACTAATAAATACTAAGTATTTTTCTGCTCTTTAGTAATGTTGAAAGTCTACAGTCAAACACGCACAGTTTTGGCCAAAGCATGATAAATATAACAATTAGTCATTATCTTTGTACATGTACATCAGAAGGGGTCTAGTTGGGATGCAGAAGTTCAGACAGCTTCAGTAAGACTTTTCGCAGTTGCTACAATCAGTCAGCAACAAGCATTTCCAAGATCTCAGATCCAGTAGTGAAATGAACCAGGGAAAGACGCTCAGTGTTTCCCTCCAGAAGGTTGTGAGAACACACCTACATCCATGGATGTCTTCTGCAGAGCACAAAACTGCATGGCCAAGAATCCAAGCTGTCCACCTACCATACATGACCAGCTACTCCATTATACACACAGAACAGTGTACAAGTACATTTATCACAGTGGCAAGTAAGGTGAGTCTGAATCATTTATAATATCGTTATTTGGCAATGCTAACATGTGCATTATACGACAGCTTCCAGGGTACCTGAAAATCTGATTTAGCCAAGAGTAAGAAAAAGCACTAGGCAGCCTTCCAACTCTATCTCTGGAAAAGAAATACTGAAGTTGAATGGCAAATAGGGTAAGATATTGAGAAAAAATGGTATGGAAATGGAAAGAGACACTGTAAGTGAGGACTTTGTAGCTGAGGTGGCGGCATTAGCTGGACAATGTAACTGAAAAGAAGAAAGTGTGATGAGGAGAGAAGAGTGGGATACACCAAGTCCTGCAAAAACAGTGCTCCCCACTACGGGAATGTGATTGAGCACAGAACCTGTCCTGGGCAGGTGCTGCATTAAAAAAGTGTTCTGCAGAAAAAAGAGTGTGACCAATAGAAAAAAAGAAGGCATTATAATCACAAGAAAGCTGAATCACTCCAGTGGCTCGAATGCTTGACTTTATGTCCTTAATAGTATTATTTTAAGATTTTATATATGTGTGTGTGCGCATATGTGAGTAATGTGTACCTATAAATAGATCCTTCATGGATAATAATCCTTATATCAGGAGATGCAAGTTTGGACTGAAAGAGACACCAGGCTGAGTTGAAACCTGGAGCAAGTGAGCAAGGCACAACTGGAGTCATCCACACTGAACACCTTATCCCAGGGCTTAGCTGCCTATCAACATTAAAGACTCGAGCAGCTACTTTCTGATAGCAGTCATCTTGTTTTACAGGAACAACATCTACAACCTTGGCACACCAGCACATAACTTATGAATGTTGGCCTATGAGTATTCCTTAATGCAAGTGCTCCCAGAAGAGGGAGCCATATAGCAAAACATTGTCCTTTTACCCTGATCACAGAAATGCATGGCTTCATCTTTCAAATACTTTTGTTATACTATTAGAATGTAATATTTGTATTAAAGGTATCCTTATGTACTAAAAAATAGCTCTAACCTCAAAAGCCTGATCTAAATACTCCTTCTGTAATATTCAATTATCCTACAGTTTTCTACCAATATATGGTAAGAATGGCACAAGCCTATAAAATGAATACAATTATACTAGTACAAAAAGTGATTCTACTTGCAAATTTAAATTAACATACTATTAGAGTGGGTCATAGAGTTGGTTTTTTGCTGCTTACAGACTCTTCTAATGTACACTCAATTTACAGCTGCAAATAAAGGGTCTTTGTTTCTAAAATTTATTTCCCTAGCTTTTCTGATTCTGTGAAATGTATTTATACTAGAAGGATTTTTTTTTTCGCAGTATGGTTATGGAGACATTTTAACTGTGCAATTTACTTTAGACCTGCATTTCAAACACAGGCCAATCTTTTGTAACCTTTACAATTTTAAGCTGCTTTAAAGGGCTACTTACCAGGTGACTGTTGAACTAAATTCTAAAAATAAATATTTGAATACTGTTTTTAAAAATGGAGATATATGTGATAAGGTGTGTTGGACTGCGGGGGAGGGTGGCTGGTTTTGGTAGTGGGGGAGGGGTACCCTGTGAAAAGCTTCATGAATACTCCCCTGGCTCTAAGGTGCACCCCCTCAGCCCAGGCTGAGCCAATGACCACTAAAGAAATGCCTCTGCAAATCCATATTTGTGAGGGGAAGGACTGTCCTGAAAAGAAGAAGGTGGAGAGAACCTGGAGGAGAGGCCATTGACCCGAACAAAAGACAACCACTGGTCCTAAACAAAAAGAGAGCTTCATTGCCAGGAGGAAGGAGGAGGAGGGGGAGGATAGAGAACCTCAGACACCCAGTTCAACTGCATGGAGTAGTAGAAGGCAAAGGAGGTCCCTGCAGCCCATGGAAGTTCCAACTGCGGAGCAGATACCCCACATATAGGACATGAAGGACTCCACACTGGAGCAGAAAGCTGAGCCTGAGGGCAAGCATGACGGAATTGAGACCCCAAAAGATGCTCAACGCCAGAGCGGGGGTGGACCCCCAGAGCAGGGGGTGAGTCTGCAGCCCATGGATGTCCCCATGCCGGAACCAAGAGCTGAGCCCAAAGAGGCCCGTGACTCCATGGGAAGCTCGCTTTGGAACACTTTGTTCCTGGACTTTCATGCCACGAAGAGCAGCAGAGGTGAACTGACTGCAACCCCACTCCCTGTCCTCTGTGTCACCGGGGGGAAGAAGGTAGTGAAATTGGGAGCAAAGTGATTTGAGCCCAGGAAGAAGGGAGGGGTGGGGGAAGGTGTTGTAAGATGTGGTTGTTGTGTCTCACTGTGCTACTCAGATAATTGGCAGCGAGTTAAATTGATTTTTCTTCCCCAAGTTGAGTCTGTTTTGCCTGTGACCATAATGGGTGAGTGAGCCGTCCCTGTCCTTCATTCCTAATCTGTGCCCCTTTGTTGTCATTCCCTTCCCATCTCACTGGGTGGGGAAGTGAATGCAGGACTCTGTGGTCCTACCAGTGGGTTAAACCACCACATGAGGTTAAGTAGATGCATTCTAATTAACTTACTTGTGATATTGTAACAGTTCTTGATTTCCTTGATGCTTCAATAGATTTATGAGTTATGGAAACATGTTCCTCCTTCTCATCTTCAGGACTTGGTGAGTCAAAGAAATCAGGGCTTGAAAGGGATGACTATGTAGACAAACACACACACGACAAGAGAGGGAAAAAAGAGCAGGTATTTTCATTGTATAAGAATATTTTTTTGTATTTATCATTTTCAAAGTAGCACTACTTAAAATCAGGACTCTCTCACCCCCCCAGTCCCACTTTTTTACATCTTATTTCAAGGCTAGAATGCTCTCAAAGCATTCAATAAATAAGACATACTTAAGAGTTGAATTCAATATTAATTTACATCTTTGCATTGCATTATATCATAAGATGAAAGCACCCTCCTATCTGCAATTAGAGCTGTACTGTACCAGGGCAGGACACAGCACCGTGCTGTGGGGATGCAGCTCTGCTGCCTGGGCAGCTCTGCCACAGCTTTGCTCAGTGCAGGTCTCACTGTGCTGCTCTCCAGAGGACTGGTGCTGCTGCCCATGCACACAGCTGGCACTGCAGGGCTGCCGTGAGCACAGCCTCTTTGCAAAGCAGCAAACAGGGAAAGTTCTTTCCACCCCTTGTTCCTTTCCCCATAGATTTGACAGGGGAAGAAAAACCTTTTTACTTGTCTTTCATGTTTCTATATTGATGTACACAGTCAATTTTCAAAGCTTTATTTTTTGTGTTTTATTAGTTTCACAATAATCCTTTTTGTTTCTCTTCATTTTGTTTTTCTTCAGCAACATGAAGACGGGTAAGTATCAGTAGTTGCTCTCATTCTGATATTCCAGAATGCAAAAAAGTATGGAAATGAACAAATCCCAAACCCTAAAGAAAAAGACACTGAAAAACTAGAGCAGTGGATTCCAAAGTACAGTTTATAAGACCAAATTGTCTAAAGGTACATATTAGAGAGTGAAATTTAAATCACCCTTATATTTACAATGGTGAGAATAATGAGAAGAAACTTGTGATTGCTTAAGGAGAGCTGTTGAAGACTGAAATGGTCTATTTGTCCTCAAAATCTGGTCAATGTCTTAGAGAAATCAAGGGAAATGCTTCTTTTGGGAAACACTTTCAAAATCCTTAATACTTAGCACAAGCTACTTTATTCCGAAGATTTTTGTACAGGATTTTTCTGCCCTCAGTCATGGCTGGTAAGGAATACTTGGCAGCACCCAAATAAGGGGGTACAAATCTTATAAAGGAGGGAATGTTTTAATTTTCAGTATTCAAAACATTGGCAGCCTTTTGACACTAATTTTCCTGAGCTGCACCTCTCTGCCTCACTGTACGTGTGAAGGAATGGCTATGTCAATGTAGTAAAAACACCAGGGAACACAAATAGGAGCCAGGGAGGGAAATAAGGAAAAAAAAAATTAAAAGAAGAGGAAAATTAACTTACAGACGTGAGAGACTGGGAGGGTGGTCGCCTGCCAGTAGCTTTTGGTCTGGTTGTAGTTGGATGATTAAGCTTCTCAGCAATTGGTATTACAGAGTCAAAACCTTCCAAGTCTTAAAAATAGAACAGAAATGATTTGGTTTTCTGTCAATTGTTCTCAAATTGAAAGAATCACAATTTTTTTTTCTAATTTCAGAGAAATCAAATCCCATTTTCCCCATTGCGTCACAGCGTTCTGCACGTGTTTAGGCACTATGATGGCACTAAAAAAGTCTGGAAGTCAAAGGCAGGTGTAATCCAGTTACCCTTGCCAAGCACAATTACCTTTCCATCTCAAACACAATAAAACAGTGGGGCAACATGTAGAGGAGCCTTTGTCTTTGTTTTTGGCATAGTGTAAGCTAAACAACAACATGGTCCTATGGCATGGCATAAACAGTTTCAAAATTTCTATCTTGCTATTAAAGGGGTTAGTAATTATTTTTTCCTGAATAATTCAAGACATAGGACACTGCACGTGTTTTCTCAAGAACTGTACTCTCAGCACTAGATCTGTAGCAATTACTTAGGGGAGCACAGAATGAGAACAATCAAGCTGGAAGTGATCTGCAGGTTCCCGGACACCTGCAGCTGCAGGCAGCATAGTTTCCAGTAGCTACAGGTGAGAGGAATATCTCCCTCCAGTAGTCTAGAGGTTATGGTAAGTAAAAACTCCAAGAGGCTCTTGAAGCTGTACAGAGCCCAGGAAAAAGAGGTCTGCTTAAATGCAGTACCCACTGTCTTCACAGAGAGTGAAATGCACTGAGAAAGTGTACACTGAATCCAGCCACGTGGTAGCATGTTTACGTGAAAGAACGATGTGAAGGCTGAAGGAATACTGCAGCTCGTGATTACATGCCTGAATCAAATGGCTTAACACCCTTCATCTATTTTTATGGGTTATATCAGTTTCACTCACCTCCATTTCAAAATGCCCTACTGTGTATGTTAACCAGAAATGAGTCAGAAAACAGACAAGAGGTACATTAGACAAGATAAATCAAAATTCTGTAAAATTACTTTCAGACAAGAATCAAATACTGTAATGATAGTCATTATTCAGAGACTATTTTTCATTGCACACATGTAGGAAGAAATAGCTTTTAAGTTATTAGTTACATATACTGAGCACTTAATTTTCAGAACTGTTACAGAACAATGAATCTCAGCTTTGTTGCCATATTACAGCCATCGTATAAAATTACACAATAGAAAAATAAATGAATTAATGGGCCTGTGCAATAAACTACATACACTGAAGGACACTTAAACTGATTCCAATTACTCATGTTTTGGCAGCTAGGAAGTAAATGGGATCAGACATTCCTTATTCAGCAATATTCTACCATCTCTGGGAGACAAAAAAAGAAGAAAAATGAGACCTCTTTCAATAGCCATGAAATAGTCTAAGGTTATTCACCTCCAAATACGACTCTATTTTTGGAGTAACTCTTCCTATATATAACCAGTGACCCCACTGTCCTCTATCAGGTTTTTCTCTCATTGCTTTTTTATTGACTGTTGCAACCTATGTCCAAAGGTAGGTAACAAAGTCTGTCAATGGCAATTTGGCAATCTGAAGCCTCAACTGTACCTAACATACCAGGTGAGGCTAGAGAGCTTTTAAAGTAAAAATGAGCTAACATTAGCAGACTACACAAAGCCCATCTGGAGTCCTACAGAACTTCAGGGTTTCAGTAGAGGAGAAATACAAGTAAAAAATTTTCTGGGGAAAAAAAAAAAAAAGCAAATATAAGAGCTGGTTTCCAGTAATAACCAGTCTGAGGCTGACACATCAGACAGCTAAATGACTTGCTTAAGATCACACAGCAGATCAGTGATGTATTTGAAAACATTGTCTTCTTTTTCACCACTGTGTTAATTTGTTACGTTGCAGAGCAAAAATATACACTCATCTATAAACATGTAAAGCTCACATACATGAGTACAAAAGGAGGCTGAAGCAATCCTTCCAGTTGTCCCAGCCAAAAAAAATCCCACCTAACTGCTTTTACTGTTTTTTTCTTGAGCTAGTTTTAATCCAGCTCATTTTCTAACAGCATGTGCCCAGCCACACAAGTACCCATGCTGAAGGAAGGATCAGTATCACTACCAGAGGACTGATACCAGTGCTAAAACTGAGAGGAGGAGCAGAATACTGCTATGGAGGGCAGCAAACTGGCTGAAGTTATCTTGCAGCCCAGGAAGGCTCCAGTGCATGACTTCCCTCTCTTTGTGTTGCCACGTCTATGGTAAGCACCATTGTCCTTTCCTCTGTTCTTACAAAAAAATAAGTATCCACCCTGATACAGAAAACAATCAATGAAAAAAAATAGCGAAGACATTAATTCAATGTGTTTCTTTGGCCTAAAAAAGCTAATAATTACCTAGAGCTCTGTGTTTTATCAGAATAGTCAAATATTCATGTTTAAATTGTAAAATGCATCAATATACCGAGAGCATATGAATTTGTGACCTTGAGACCCACGAGCACTTAAAGATAAATATCTGCTCCATGCATTTTATGAATACCACAGAAGATGAACATTTCTGTGCAAAGCTTCTATTATCAAGAAATACTGGGACTCTTCCAGTTTTTTCCACTTCTGAATGTATTTCTGATAGCTAGAAAAATAAACTAAAGCAGCCTATACTTGCACTGAATTTCAAAAAACCAGCAGACCAGGGGTTGGAAAGGCTCCACAGGTAGAATCTGCTGCCAAACTAGTGAAATCACAGACATTAACCTGATACTATAAATGAAATTCTATTTAAGTGTAAGGGATAACACTTGGTACAATGTTAAAATAGTAAATCCATTTCCAGTACTTCTATATGGCCTTTATCCCTCCTTGTTTTTTCTCCTTATTTAGATGTGGTTCTCGCTCCCAAATCCACTCTGCATCTAAGGTTATCACCACCTTCCATGGTCATCACCTCAGAGGTATTCATTCAGGAAAACTCCCATCTACTAAACTGGTAACTAGTAAAATGAGGAACAGAACCACTCAAGAGACCTCTGCCTTACTGTCACCTATACTGTAGATTCAGTAATGAATTCACTCATACTGGTTATTCGATTATTTTTTGCTGATGGAAAGCAAGGTTATATGAATGTGACTATATTATACTTACAGAGGTCACTCATCTCAAATGAGATTTGATTTTAGCTTGTATTTCTGTAGCTACCAGAAATTGGGAGCTTAAATTTGCATACTAAGCAAAAGACAAAATTTTCCTGAGCTGGACCAAATGGAACGTCATTAAAAATAAAGTCCTGTCTACTCTATTCACAGCCATGTTAATTGCCAGAAGGGCAGCATCAGCATCCAACAGACCTGAACTCTGCACTGGTCCAGCTTTCTCTATGTCTAGTAATAACAAACAGCAAGGAAGGTTCTACTGAACACATAGAAGACAGAGGGCACCCATCAATTAAAAGTGTCACTCCCACATTAAAAAATAGTTGACATGTGTTCTACAAACAAACGGATGCATTTGTCATTATTACTGTCTCGCTGATCAAACTGGTAGTTCATGAAGTAATTCATGAGATGGGATGAAAGACAACAGAATAATTATAAGATACTAGGGTACCACACACAATAAAATGTCTGGCTTACTGAGTAAAAATATTTAATGAATATGAAAAAATGTTAGCTGTGCAAGAATTATTCCCTGTATCCTTAAAGCCAGTTAAGAATAGGATATTAGGATATTTTTCCCCATTGCTAAGTTCATTTGGAAACTTGGTTATCTAAATCATAACCATGGCATTTTCAAAATAACGCCCAGATCCAGGAAAACAATTATTTAAGGAAAAAGTTCTCAGCTCATTAGACTTGTACCTTCCTGGAAAATAACCTTCAATCCCTCCTCCACCCCCAAAAAAAAAAAAACAGAAAGAAAAAGTTAAATGGTTATGCTTCCTTCCTTACTCCTTTTCCCCCTGCACTTACTATTCTGGCATAAATTGTGGCTAGGCCTTCCTTAACTTTATATTATGTTTAGGTTTTTTATTCTTTGGGCAAAGTCATTTATACATAATGAAGACAGAAAGCTTTTTAAATTAGCAGAGAGATTTCACCTTGAGAAAACTGAAATGGAAAGTGATGGATAATAGCAGAATCAACACATTCAGAATGCTAATGGCGAGGTTTCATAGAAGAGAAATACAGCAGGGCTGGAAGAAATGAGGCAAAAGTGGCGTTCAATTCACTTGAAGAAGATAATGTCACAAAAGCCACAGAGGTAGATTTAATTTCATAATCATCTTCAATACATAAAAGATTGACAATAGGCTTGTGAAACAGTACATATACTTTAAATACAATAATCCTGAAGGCTATCAAATGAGACAGAGATACAACAGACAATCTTCTGCATTAATGCACATTCAATATATAGCACTAATTAGAAACCAACTCAAACAATAATCTGAACATTACTGGGAATTTTCAGAAGACCACAATTATTTTAACTACTTCAAGCACCCAGATTCTGCTACTGTCTCCATGCTGAACAGCATCGTACCCTTCTAGGAACACAGCCACGCTCTTAGTCAGGGTCTTGGCAGCAGAATCTCACCCATAATGAACTACAGACTCTTTTTTAAGATTCATGTAATGCACTTTTAGCAGGAGGGCTCCCTGGCTGCAGGGTTAGTGCGCTCAGGACTGTAACAGAGACGTGCTGGGGACGCCTGCTCACATGGTTCACTGCTTTGGAGGGAAACAGCTTAGCTCACCTGGCTTCCCAGGACAGCCACTGGACAGCCACCCTTTCTAAAGTATACTATTATATTTTCCCGTTTTAACTCTGACTTTTACTGCTTTAATAGCTGAATGTAGAAAGCTGCCATAAGGAGCTTTGCTAACCACTTGCCAGTGCCTTCATAAGGATTTTATTTTTAACAATTCAGAAGATGCCAAGAAAGAACTGAAAGGTCAAGAAAACTGAGCTAGAAGAAATGGATAGGCTGCTTTCAGGCACCTCAACTTGACACACTTGGAGAACGATTTAAATTTCTGTTTTACTGCCTTTTTCTGAACCCTCTGGGGCAAGAGACCTAATT